CTCTCTCTCTCTCTCTCTCTCTCTCTCTCTCTCTCTCTCTCTCTCTCATGTGCATGCATATGCGTGTGCACATGATTGTTCTCGACCTTCCATGCAGCTACTGAAAGGCCGACGAGATACTGAAACTACTACTGCTTTGTCTACTTCTACTTCTAGCATAACACTTAAAGGGCGGAGCGGGTCTCTGAAGACGCTCCCGAATGGCAGAGACCCGCTGTTGCATGCTGCACTTGCACACGGGCCCCATCTGAGGGGCCCGACGGTTGCTGAGGGGGCCCCAGGCCGCGTGCCCATCCGACACGCGCCCTGGAGGCCCACGGCGGTCTTTAGGCCGCAGGTAAGGTTCAGGCAGCACTTATTCATGTATTTATTTAGTTGCTGTCCTATTTTTGTCTGTTCAGACGTCGTTTCGGACTTGCAGTCCCCAAGGCACGACCTTGGGCCGGGTACACCAGAGGCAGGGCCGAAAGAGGCCAGGTGCACGTTTGCGCCTTGCTGCATCAACAGCACAGTCTGGACACCCAGTAGGGTTCCCGACCGTGCAGGCCGAGGCCAGGCTGCAGCTCACCCAGTAGGTCCCAGCGCTGTATATAGCTGGGCCACGGCCTGGGCAGACACACAGTTTGAGTAGCTCACTTCTGGAGTGACATGCTGCTGGACTAGGGCTGCACTACTTAGCACTGCGCCCTGGGGTTGAGAGGAGAGGCGCAGGAGGCAGAGGGGCGGAGGCCATACCTGCAGCGGAGCTCGCCCGGCGCCATAGCTGGGGTTCCACGGCACGCCGACCTGCACACGACAACGGCGGTCAGTCCGGCGGTGGTACCTGCAGGTGAGACAACGAGGAGGACGACATCTTCTTCTTCGTCGTCTCCCTCCTTCCTCCTTCTTCCTCCTCCCTTCCTCTTCTCTCTCTTCTTCTTCTTCTTCTTCTTCTTCTTCTTCTTCTTCTTCTTCTTCTTCTTCTTCAGATAGATAGATAGATAGATAGATAGATAGAGAGAGAGAGAGAGAGAGAGAGAGAGAGAGAGAGAGGTTACAGGCAGAGGTTATGGCGGGCATTGCGCCCAGGATCTGATCTGACATTTTTGAGGCAGACATTGATTGGACATTCGGCAAGGGACTATTTTTGGACTTCGCTATCACGATCTTGGTCTTCTCCCTCACCTCCATCTTCGTCTCGCCTCTCCCCCCATCTCTCATCCGTGGTATCTCTCCCATGTGCTTGTACAAGGAGGGACCTTTCTTCTATGTGTGCGGTCCCTCCTCCTCTTCTCACATGTGTGGTGTATGATGGGATGTCGCGTCAGTCCTAGTCAGGTCAGGTCTTATCTTTGAGTCTTCCACTGCGCTACTTTGTGCCATTTTGTATGTATCGGGATGTACATTGCTTGTTGATGCTTCACTGACATTGCATTGTCCATTTCAGTCCTTTTCATCACATTGCAGATCCTTGGCTCCATACACAGTGCCCAACTGGGCATGTCTCACCCGCTCTGCTCCCAAATGGCAGAGTGAGTCTCTGAAAACGCTCCCGAATGGCAGAGCAAGTCTCTGAAGGCGCTTCCACCTGGGCTTAGTGTTTTGGTGGTGCCCCGCTTCCTCTGGCTGTCGGTTTGTCAGTTCTTGGTTCCTTTCCTTTTTTTCCGTGAGGGGCTCAGATCACACGCTTTGCAGTTCACAAAAAGAATCTCAGAGCACTTTCACGACAGCACTTCCTTGCGAGGATCTGACCGAAATAATGTATGGAGAGGGCGCTGTTTTTCCCCTTGGCCGTTGGCGTGGTTCGTTGTTCTCTCCTTGCATCCATTGACCCCGTTTTCAGTTGTAGACACACGCGGTTTCCAAGATCGCACAATTGCACAAAAGAAGGTCGTTCTGTCATCTTACTTTGACCGCCACTAATGTCGATTTCAGGCGGATCTATTTGACGATATATATATATATATATATATATATATATTATATCTGTTTGTGACGATATATATATATATAGTCAAACAGAGATCCCCGGTAAACCATGGGCAGAGAGGGAGAAGAGGACAACAAACGAGGGGCTGTGACAAACTGTTTCGTCGGAGTTTCACCGACTATATACGATATATATGACGATATGATGAGTCGGTGAAACTCCGACGAAACAGTTTGTCACAGCCCCTCGTTTGTTGTCCTCTTCTCTCTCTCTGCCTACGGTTTTACCGGGCAGTCCTGTTATATATATATCGTCACAAACAGAACTGCCCGGTAAAACCGTAGGCACAGAGAGAGAAGAGGACAACAAACGAGGGGCTGTGACAAACTGTTTCGTCGGAGTTTCACCGACTCATCAGGAGGCTGAACCCTCAACAGTCTGCAGAATCCCCTCACTGATTGTGACGATATATATATATATATACACAGAGAGAGAGAGAGAGAGAGAGAGAGAGAGAGAGAGAGAGAGAGAGAGAGAGAGAGAGAGTCAGTGGGAGCTGCATGAGCCTTTATCCGTGTTTGAATGCACCTTCGCTCCATCATGAGAAAGGGAGAGGGAGAGAGTTTCAAATGAACATAGCCGTACTCGCGGCCAGATACAATCAGGAAAGTCTTAGTGTAATCAAGACATTGTAATGAATCACTTGCACCGTGTTTTTCGGCTGAATCTAGGCAGAAAGAAGATTGTGTACAGGCTAGAAACTCCTACTACGGTCAGTATGTCCCAACTAATAGCCATCTCCTTCACCATCTTCAACTGGTTGCAGTTGGAATCGATTTATCAACAGAATCCGCACCTGATTGGGACCAGCGTGCATGACCTGAGTACGAATGTGAATGTGATTGCATCTCCCGTGCATGCGCCAAACTGCATAGTATAACACACATTCACACACATAAATAAACTCTGAGAGATAGATGGCACTGACGCCTGGGATCCAATCGTCTGTCTCTATGCGTTTCCTTTTTTTCCCCCTGTATCATCACTATTACATCATTCGTATCTTCCTTTCTTGGTCCACAAGGGGCTGCCGTTTCTCTTCCCTTTGGATTTTTCGTTTTTTTTTTGTTCGAATTGCTCATCACTGCATGCTTGACTGTTGAGACAAAGATTGGGCCTCGCTCCACTTTTTTCCAAATCCACGAAAGACAAAAATTATGACGGTGTATCTTCTTTTTTGAATTTTTTTCCTTTTTTTTCAATGACAGATCATCCGTTTCATTACCAATCAACAATTGAACGGAGGTCCAAGGCCAGGGACCTCATAATTCTACCCAGAGTTATTCCCGAAGCATTACCCAGTTTCGCTTCCGCTAGCAAAGACCAGGCCATTAAACTCAAAGCATGAACACAGCATCCTTTTTTTTTTTCTTTTTCTTTTTTTTAAAACAGGCGCTTATGGTCCTGGCTCCATATCCATTCTGGGGAGCGTCAGTCCGGTTCCTATTTCCCCGGCAAGTCAAAAATTTGAGACATCGTAGAACACGCTCACGCTTCCTTCCGTCTCGCCGAAGGAACCCTGACCAGCATTGATTGCTCCTTATAGGAGGATTGACTGTCAGCTTGCCTTTCCTTGAACTCCCTCTCAGATTTCCTTATGGAAACCTGTCAAATAGGCTTTAATGAAGTTTAATCAGCTAGGAGAACTAAGGCAAGAAAATGCTTCCACATGAAAATGAAGGTCGTTGTTACTCCTTACGTAGCCTGTGGATTCTGTGGGTCCCCCATCGAGTGAGATATTGGACTTCTCCCGCTGGTCTCCGAGTTGTGTCAATTTTTCCATCGCAGGTTGCAGTCTCTTATCTCTGCTATTTTCCCCCCCACCAGCCAGACCTTGACGAATTTGGAGAGGATACTGCGCTGTCGATATTCATCTTCAGGCATGGAGCGTCTCATCTTGTGCCATCTGCATAGGATCTCTGCGTGGATCAGGGTCTTTGTCTCCACCCAAACCTTTTCTCTCGGAGTTGATAGTTGCTCGATGGTTCTGCTGCATCTCTCCTTCCAGATCGACCAGAGCATCACTTTTCTGATCATGCCATACCATATGTTATCAGCATTGTTGAAATCAGTAGGAATGTTAGTCCAGAGAAGAAGTTGGGTGGGATGTTCAGGGAGGGGTGATGTGAAAAGGGAGTTCCAGAGGTCCGAGGCCCTGGCCCAATATTCCGTAGCTTCCTTGCAGCAAATTAGGCAGTGAATTATATATTCTGGCTCGTTATCTGAGCGGACTGTGCATCGGTCCGAACTGTTAGGATCACTCCTTCGTCTTCGCTTGTGGAGCCATTGGTTGACCGGTAGTGCCACGTATGCGATAAGCCATTGGAGACTCCGAATTTTAACAGGTCTGATTGATTTGAACTTCTTCAA